CTTCCTTCCCCCCCTCCCCTCCCCTTCCTTCCTTCCTTCCGTCCTTTTTTCTTCCTCCTCCCCTTCCCTTCTTCCTCCTCCTCCTTCCCTCCCTCCTCCTTCCCTTTCTGGGGCTGTAGTTGAAGCTAAGACGGTCCAGGCTTCTGGAATCAGCTGACCCCCGCCCCCTCAGAAGCCCCCTGGGTTCTGGCCTTCAAGGGCAGCCCCAGCAGACGGGCCTGGCTGCTCCAGAGCTGCAGCGTCCTGGGTGCTTTAGAGCCCAACCCGCCATGCCCACCTGGCACCTCCCATCATTGCTGGCCAAGGCATTTGCCAAAGCAGGGTGGGAATGCTGGTCCATTCAGGCCTGGGTCCCACTTATGTGTGGCCCACACAACGTGTCTGCAATGCAGAAAGCCACACTGGTTGAATTTCTGCCTGCCTCATCCAGAGGGCAGGAGGCCATCTGAAGCCAAGCAATCAATGTGTGCCTCAAACCAGGAACTGAGTCTTTGTCTCCGGTGGGAGCCGCGAATGGGGCTGTGGGGTGGGGGGGCTTTGAATGGCTGCCTTTCCCGAGTCCCGAGAACACTTTCTCCGTCTCTTTGCGGGTGCAGATCCGCAGTGAATCCGCCTCTGGGGTTTCGTTTATTGTCGTCTTCCTCTCCGCCAGGAACGGGAAAGGAAGCCGTAGGTTCTTGGCAGATTCCGGCCCAGATGGAGGAATTACGCTCCACGTGCCTCTTGCAGGCAGACGGGCAGGCAGCCCCTCGCCCGCGTGTCCCCCCCATTGCGGGCGGGTGCGCAGCTCCCTCTCACTCATTTGCAGCCATTCCCCGCCTCCCCCCCCTCCAGGATCCACCCGCCACTCGAGGAAAACGATCTAGAGCACGGATATTACGACCACAATTGGGACCAGATTTTCCGTGTTAAGCAAGGCAGTTTTATGACCTTTTTTGCCATGGTTGTTAGTGAGTGAGGCAACTTTCAAAATTGCTAAATGAACCTGGCTCCCCCCCCCTTGACTTGGCTGGCCGGAAGCCGGCGGATCAAGCCCCGGGTGGCCACTGGGTGACCGTGGGGCACCGCGACCCTGGTAAATACGTGCTGGATGCCGAGTGCCCAAATTTTGACCGTGTGATCAAGGGGATGCTGCGACGGTTGTAAGTGCAAGAACCCTGGTGAATAATTTTCAGAGCGACTGTAGCTGAAGGGTTGCTAAACGAATAGTTTATAAGTCGAGGCCCCCCTGTGTGCTCTGCAGATCGACGCAGGCTTGCAGGGTGAAGTCCCTCATCCCTGCCGGCCTGGCCCCCTTGACCACGCAGGCAGCCTCCCCCAGGTGGGCAGAGGCCCTCTGCATCCCCCCCAAAAAAGTCTGGGGAGCAATGGCCCGCAGAAGGGGGCACCGGGAGCAACGGTTTGGCCACTTTATGTGGGCCAAAGTCAGGGTCCGGGGAGGGGCTGTGCCTGGGGACCCTCAGCATCAGCCCGGCTGGATGGGTGCTGAAACAGCCCCTCCCTTTCTGCAGGTGGCAGGTGTGCCCAGGGGTGAGGCTTCTCCCCCGTCGGTGGTCGCCCACCTCCGTTTTATGCCCAAGGAACCTTTCGGGTCCTCCGGAGAGGCTCGGCCTGCCTGGCGTTTGCGCCTTCCTCTTTCTGAAACCTCCCCTTTCCCCCCACAGGTTGTGGGTCTCCTGCTGCCAAACCAGACTCTGGCCTCCACCATCTTCTGGCAGGTAAGGACTGTGTGCCCATCGTTGCCACCTGTGTGTTTCAAGCAGTAATCTGCTGCTCAGGCCATTCGTTCATTCATCCGTTCATTCATTTGTTCATCTTTTGTGCCACCCTTCTCATTCCACAAAGGGACCTGGGGTAGCTGTCATTGCTCATAAATGCTTGCTGCCCTTCTGGGTCCATCCCTGGCTGAGCCCTCCCCTCTCCTCCTTATCTATCCCTCCCTCCATCCTCCTATATCCATTGTCTTCCCTCCCCGGCCCTCATCCGTTCTGCAGGGTTCCCCCCCAGCTACAGCACGCCAGGCCTTCCTGGGCAGGGGTCCAAAGGGAGGGGGCTGCCTTGGATGCTCCCCAGTCCTCCAGCTACGGGGACGGGGTGGGGAAAGTCCTGGACCAAACTGAAGGACACCCCCCCCCCAATTGCCAGCTGAAAGGGTCCCATGGCTCTTCCGGATGAGACACACAGACTGAAGCTGGCCTGTGTTCGAACCCCCGACAGGGCTAGGCCAATTAAGAGTGTTTGTCGTCCTCCTAAAAAGCAAGCTGTTCCCCTCATTTGTGCTTGTGAGGACGTGCCCGAAACGTGTGGCCGTGTCTGGAGAGCCCACCGGACCCGCAGAAAAAGAAACCCCAGAAAATGGCCGGTTTTGCGTTCTCAGCAGCTTGGAAAGGCAGAAGAACCTGTGCAAAGCCAGACCTGAATTTGTGTGTGTGTGTGTGTGTGTGTGTGTGCTTGTATTGTGAAAGAGAGGATTCTTTCCAGGTGGCAGGTCAGGGTGCCTGGCATTCAGGCCGAGGTAAAGGTGGCTAACTCAGGATAAATCCTCCTCTCACTTGGCGCTTTCTGCAAGAGGTCTGGAAAGCTGTTTTGCCCGGGAGAGGGGGGGGCTTTGCCTCCCCACTCCCCCCCCCAGACCTTCTCCTGCCTGGCACAGGCTGCCCTGCCTTTCTCGCCACTGTCCTTCCTCCCCCCTCGCCTTTCCTGCCCCCTTCCTTCCCTCCCTCCCTGCTTCTCTGACTCCTTTCCCTCCTTCTCTCTCTCTTCTCTTCCCTGCTCTCAGCTTGGCCTCCTTTCCCAGCAGCTGGAGAGGGACAGAGCAGCCCCCGCAGAGCCGCCTTAGTAGAAGGGCAGGCAGGGCCGGTGGAGGTAAGCACCCAGGGCAGCTCAGCTCATAGTGCCAGGCTGCTCAGGGACACACAACACACACACACACACACTGCCCCCCCATCCGGGGGGGCTGTCCTGCCACAGCTGGAGCCGCAGGTACCCTGGGAAGGGCTGCAGGAGGAAGGCAGCAAGCAGGGCCCCATCCTCCTTCCAAGGCCGTCACGGAGGGAGGGATGGGGGTCCTGTGGCCCCAGAGGAGGGGAGGTCAGAGGCCTGGAGGAGGTCACTAAATTGTCTCCCTTGGCAGACAGCATGAGCCAAGGTGGAGCCGGCCCAGGGCAGTCCCTGGGGGCTGGCGTGTTCCCCCCAACTCAGCCCCCCCCACAGGGTAGTGGTAGAGCACCCACTTTGCAGGAAGAGGCCTCGGCAGGTCTCTTGTCCAGGTAGGCCTGGGGGAGCCCCCCAGGATCGACCTCCTTGGAACAGGCTGTGGGGGGGGCGGTCCCAGTCCTAGGTCAGTGGCAGAACGCTCCCCTCCCCACAGCACCCCCTCCCTGCAGAAGCACCCCGCCTGCTCTCCAGCTGCTCTCTGCAGGGAGCGGGGGGGGGGATTGCAGCACCCAGGGGGCCGGGCGGCAGGTGCCCCCTGGGAGAGGGGAGAGGGTCCGCCCCAGAGTTTGCTGCCTCCTCGCCTCCTTTCGATCCTCCAAGCTCAGAATCCGAGCCCAAAGCTCGGGGGTCTCTCTCTCCAGGGCCCCCTCCCTTGGCAGCCCAGGGCCAGAGTGGGCAGGCTGCTCCCCTGGGGGGCCCTCCCCCCCACAACTGGCTTGGGCAAACGCCTGTCTGTGCCCCTTCCCTGGCCCGATCAGATGGGGGGGAGGGGGCACCTGGGCTCCCCAGCCCCTGGCAGGGGTTCTTTTCCCGGCAGCATCTGCCAGCCCCCCTCGGAGCCCCCCCTGCTTAGCCTCTGTGCCCAGAGCCAGTCGGGGAGGGGCTGATGCCAGGACCCAATTTGATCTGGGAAAGCAGAAAGGCCGGGGGGGGGGTAGTTGGGCATGGGGCATGCCTGCGTGCGTGCGTGTGTGTGAGTGTGCGTGCGTGTGTGTGAGTGAGTGAGTGAGTGGCCAGGGAGAGAGAGGTGAGCCCTTGGGCACTGGTATCTCGGGAGGGGGGAGCTCTTCTGTTGCAGATACGCAGAGCCGCAAACCCCTGGACTGGACGACCGAAGGCTTTCCGTGCCAGCCAGAGGCTCCCCCGGCAGGGCTGCTTCAGCCGCTCATCCGGCTCCTTTCTCTCTGGCGGTTCTGCCCCCGGCCCAGCCGTCTCTCGCTTGTGCCCACCCTCTTGCCCGCGGCCTTTAACCAGCGTTGCCCCTGTTTCTCTTCTCTTTAGTGGTTGAATCAGAGCCACAATGCCTGTGTCAACTATGCAAACCGGAACGCTACCAAGGTGAGGGGGGGCTCCACACGAGAGCCCGGGGGGCCCCTCCAGCTTGATTCCCCCAGCCCAGACCATCCTCCTGGGGTGCGGGGAGAGCTCCAGGGGCTGGGACTGGTCAGCCCATCACCCCCTGGCCCGAGGTCCAGATGCCAGGTCTCGCCCGGCCCCTCTGCCATCCTTTGGGGCTGGGCACAGCATCTGCCCATCCCTCAGGAAGGTCAGGGCCTCCTGCCCCATTGCCAGCTGCGCTGCCCAAAAGGGACCACCCCGCTTCTCCTCCAAGGGGCCCACCAACCAGCTCTTAGAGCCGGTTCTGGAACCCACCCCTTGGCTTGTGGAAGCAGCCGGCCACCCCTGCCCCACCCAGCCCTCTGGCCCCAGAGCGCCTGGCTGCATGCCCAGGGATCAGGACCTCTGGCATCAGCCCTCCAGACAGCCCTGTCGCTGGGCCCTCAGCCTCCCAGGGTGGTTGGGCTTCGCCAGCAGGCTCGGCTTTCCAGGTGTTCAGAGCCCGCCCCCCAATCTTTTTGGGGTGGGCTGCTTTCGTTCTTGGGGGAAATGGGGGACAAGGCCCGCAGCTCCTTCAGAGCTCTTGCACAGCACCAGCAGAAAAAAGCCCGTTTCTATGATGGTCTGTCATGGTTCCGACAGATGGAACTCTTCAAAGGAACTTTGAGGCATTGTTTACCTTAAAGAATCTTTCATTCGAGAAACAAAGTATGGGCACTACATAGTTAAAGCCAAAAACTGAATTCCCCTCCCCTGGATTCAAAGTAACAAAGTGCAATTCCCTCCTCCAATAAACTGTCATAAATCACATTCCCCAATTAGTTTGAAGCATGGGGCTTTCTCCCCAGCTCTCCAGCCCACCAAAACTCTATCAGCTCTGGGCCCAATGACCTTGGGTTCCCATGGCTGAGTTATTATTGCTATGACTAGCTGGACTCTCCTCCCTATTCCCCCTCCCAGCATCAACTAATTCTAAAAGCAATAGAGAAAACGGCTGCATTTCCATCTGTTGTCAAAGCAAGAACGTCCGATGTTAGCAGCGTTGACAGCTGGGCTTTGAGGGGGACATGAAGGGGCTGTATTGAGGGGGGGTCTCGGGGGCTACAAACAAAGGGCTGGGGCAGGGCTCGCTTGTCCCTTCTCTGCCCCTGAGCCACCCTGCGGGGCCCAAGCATCTCCCACGTACTTTTGGAGGCCCTGCACATCCCAGGAGCGCCCCCCCATTTCCTTTCAGGCCTTCTTTTGTCCCCCCCCCCCTCGTTTCCTACTTGTGAACTCAGCTGCTGCCTCCTCTTCCTCCTCCTTCCCAGCCGTCTCCGACCTTCAAGTTCATCCAGGGCTACCTGGGGGCCGTGGTCAGTGCCGTCTCCATCGCGGTGAGTGGCCCTTTAAGGCTTTTTCTCTTGGGAGGGGGAGCCAGAAGCCCCTCTCTTACTTAGGCCCGGGGGGGGGCAGCTTCCTGGCCACAAGAAGATTCCCCCCCGAAGCCTGTGGAGTGAGGGTCCCCACGGGGGGGGGGGTTGTGCACCCAGGATCTGTGGGGAGGAAGGCTTTGCCAGGCAGGGTCTTCGGGGAGACCCCTGGGTTGCCCCACAGAGGTGGAGGCGGGCCCAAGAGAGTCCCTCCCTGCTCCACAGTTTCAACCAATGAGCAGGCTCGGTCTTGGAGGAGGGAGGAATGGGGGGAGTCTGCCCCTCTTGAGGGAGAGCAAAGGTCAACAGACATACAGGGACTTCAAGGACAGATCTGAACATGGGCACTCCCTGCCGTACAACCATTCATTTAGCGACCGTTCAACAGTGGCGACTTGAGGACCCCTGGACAAAACTCCAGAATTCCTCACCCCTCGGCAGTCGGCTGACCTCAGAGATGCCGCCAAGGAGCCCCCGGGGCTCTGCCCACCTCTTCTGTGCCAGGAAGGCGGCTGCTTGGCCCAGCCCCCCTGCCCGGCTCTCCTTTCCCCTCCTTCCCCACTGCCCCCCCGCCCCGCCCCACCTCTCAGCAACACCACTTCACTGGTGATGGCGCCCTGCGGCTTCCTCCCTCCTTCGGCCCACCTTGATAATTGTCTGTCAGGAGTTGCTGCAGATGCGTTGATAGTCTGCGAATCCCCCACCGGCATCTGCCGTGGAGCGGGGACCCCCGCCGGCCTGCCTTCGCTGACCACTTAACACCGCGAGGGAACCGCACTCAGCCTTGAGGCCGGCCAGGCAGCAAGGAGAAGCAGCCTCCGTCTTGGTTCTGCGGCTCTCTGGCGGAAGCCCTCAGCCGCCTCCTTGGGAAAGGAAGTGGATGATGGGCTTCGGGTCCCCTTGCCTGCTTTCCTGCCTCTGACCTTGCGGGGGTGGGTAGAATTAAAGGTCTCCCTTGGCCTGACTGCTGCCCCACATGCTCTGATAGGCCAAGTGGGCCCCTTTGGGAAGAGCAAATGCCACGTGGACCGTGGGTACGTTGTGGTTTCCCCTTTAAACGTGGTGCGGTGTCGCACGGCTGAACCTCACGAGAGCCTTTTGCTCTTCATGGTTTGTGGGGGCTTCAGCGACCTGCCACGTTCAGATTTCCAGGAAGGGTCAGTCTTCAGTTGAGCATTTAGCAGAGGGAATTTGGGGGGAGGGGGGGGAAGCGGGAAGAATCCCTCTCTTGGGCGCCCAGCAGGTGAGGGGCTCAGCCCCCTAACCTCCCTCGGCTTGCTTCCCCTGCAGGTGGGCCTTAACGTTCTCATCCAGAGAGCCAACCAGTTTACGCCAGCCACCCGGCTCCTGATCCAGAGATTCGTGCCATTCCCTGCCGTAGGTGAGACCCCCCCCCCGCCCTCTCCCAGAGGCTGCTGCTGCTGGGGTCCTGGGGGGGCTCTGGAGCCAGACTTCAGCCAGGTTGGAGGGTGTCCAGTCTTGGGAGGGGCGGATATCCCCTGGGCTGGGCAGGAGGTATAGCAGGATAAGACATTCCCCTGACTCACAGGGGGCTGCTGTACCCTGGAGACCCCCACCCTGGGATTTGCAAGGGTCACTCAAGGCAGTCCAGCCCTTGGGCTTCCGGACTGGGGTCTCCCAGACTCACCTTATGGGGCAGGAGGGCAGGAATGGAGCCAGCCCCCCCAGGCATGGCTGTGCCCGGAGCTTCTCTGGGCTGCTTCCTCTCTGCTGCTTTGGGGACAGCCTCAGCTTGGTTTGGGGGGGGGACCCTGGGGGTGCCCAAGATACTCTGGGGGAGGAGAGGCACCGAGGGGGAGGGGTGGACAGCAATTCTGGAAGGAAAACTCTGCCGGAGCACCTGTGGGCATCCGGTGGTCTGGGAGGGAAGAGAGTGGCATGGGGTGGGGGCAATGACTCCAGGGAGACTTTGGGGCTGCAGGAAGTGCTTTCAGATGGGGCTGGCTGGGGGGGTGGCTTAGCCAAGCTATGACACTATCCCCTACCCCAATAGATGCAATTTCACCCAGGTCCGGAGGGGGGGGGAAGGAATCAGAAAGCCCCAGTTCAAATTCTGCTATCGCCACCCTTTTCTCTGGGATCAGCAGCCGTGGGGCAGAGGGCTCCCCCCTCCTTCCAGCATGGCTTTTCAGCTCTTCCTCTCTCCTTGCCCCCCACCTAGCAAGTGCCAACATCTGCAACGTGGTTCTGATGAGGCACACAGAACTGGAGGAAGGGATCAACGTCCTGGATGCGGAAGGGAACGTGGTTGGATCGTCCCGGATCGCTGCCAGACACGTATGTGCCTCTCGGGGGTCCCGGCTGGCCTCTTTCACCAGGGGCAGGGGGGGTTGGGGGTCCCACCAAGATGGGCGTGCAGAGGCCAGGCTGCGCAGGGAGAGAGGAAAGATGCCCACCCCCTTCGCCCCTCTGAGAATTTCTGCTCCTAGCAGAGGAGGGCCTGTGCTATGGGGAGGGGGCATTCTGCTGCTGGTCAAGGCTTTTGGGGGGTCTCCACACCCCCAACCCCCACACTCTGCCCTGCCAGCAGAGGGGTGGAAAAGGCCCTGGCATTATCTGGGGTCCAGAAGAGCAGGAGGCGTTTTGCCTCCCTCCACAGTTGCCCCCCCTCCCGAGAGGGAAGGGTCCGGGTGCCCAATTGTGGGGTGGCAAACAGGGAGGGAGATAGGAGAAATTCTAACTTCCCTGACTGGAATTAATTAGCGATCACCAGCTGTGTCTGTGGGAAGATGCTCCAGATGTTTCCTGACACCCACCCACACCTGCCTGGTTCTCCTCCTCCCCCCCC